AATAAAATCTAGCCTTTGGATCTAATGCATCGTGCGGCTCAGATTGCATTCTGCACTCACATTTTGAGATTGTGCATTTTCAAACGATTATGGTGCATTTCGACATGATGCATTTTCAAACCATCTTGGTGCACCTAATTTTGATGCAATCCTAACCCTTAGATCTCCCAATCTAATGCACCAGATTCATTCTTATTTCTTTCATTAGATTGCATTCTCACCTGAACCAATATATATATATATATATATATATATATATATATATATATATATATATATATATATATATACATGAAAAAAGAGCACCAAACTCGGTGGGGTAAGGTCCAGGCCGCCCTTACCAGCTTTATTAGTTAAAAATGTGAATACACGTTCGGGGAGGACTAGACCGAAGCCCCGAAGGTAGGACAAAATATATCAAAATTACCAATAGCAACAAAATTAAATCCGTAACAAGACAAATCTAAAAACCAAGAAAGGATCCATTTCAATATGCAGACTCAATTCTTATCTCCTCTTCCGCTGAGTGTTTGGAATTAAATCTTTACATCGGTGAGTTCCAGGTCGAATATTGATCTTGGAGATGTCTTCGCTTCTATGGGAAAATTCCTTCAGTGAAATCACCGTTGCCTCCCCTCCTCCTAATCGAATACATGCTATGAATCCCAATCTTCTCCACATGTAATTCAAACCCCAAGTCGTGTAATTCTTTGTCACTGATCATCCAGCGAGCTCTTTTTCCTATGTAGCCAATTCTGTTGGAACACGGGTTTATGCTTATGTCGTACTAAGCCGTGTTCGTTTTATGACAGGTTTTGATAATGCCAAACCGCCGTGACAATAACAAGGTTAAACTGAGCAAAACCAAGGTGAAGGAACATGGCATGATGAACTGAGAACCAAGAACCAAGAATCAAGAACGAAGACTTAGAATTATATTGAGTCGGTTTTAATGTGGTCAAGACCGGCACAAACCTTCAAAACATGGCTCTCTAGGCTCATTTCATCAAAATATTTTTTGCATATTCAAAATGATTTTCTTAAGTCTTAAACCTGCCTGAAAACACTTGGAGTTCGCCCAAACCAAAAACCAAGCCATCCGGCGTTCGGCTTTCGGTTATCGGCGTTGGTTTTTGGCGTTCAAACCAACCAAGTGGTTTTCAACTTTTAATGATTAGTTTTTACTTCTGGGCATATTTAAATAGTTCTCCAACAAAAACGCTTCAAAAACCACCTTTCGTTTTTGGTCGTTTAGTGAAAACCATGCGAAACGGCGTAAACTTGGCTAGCCGTGGTTTTCAACTAAATGACGTGGTTTTCAAAATATTTTACTTGATTTCTTAGCAAAATGCATTAAACAAACATTTTCAATACTTGGTTTTTATTTTGGAGAACTTACAATTTTGACATCGGCTAACGGCTGACTAAACCAACCATGGGTCTGGCTAAACCAGCCCAACAACGATGTTGGTGTAACCAACAGCGCTGTCTGGATTGGGTAGCTGAAAACCATAGTTTGGCGTTAAGTCTTCCAACAGCGATGTTGGATGTTAGACATCGCTGTTGAGCCAAGGTTGGATTTCCAGAAACTTCTGGAACAGCGATGTAGGCCTCCCTACAGCGCTGTCCAACCTAAGCCAAAAATATAGTGCATTGGCAGAAAGTTTCAGGACAGCGATGTTGACCCAGCAACAGCGCTGTCAGGACAAAACTCCACCTTCAAAGTCAGACCCAAACAGCGATGTTCAAGTATTGAACAGCGATGTAAGGACCTGACCGTTGGAAGGAATTTAAGGCTAAAACTTTCCTTGTTTGGAAGTCAACAGCCAAAACAGCGATGTAGGAGTATTGGACATCGCTGTTGGCATGACCGTTGCTTCCCAATTTTCAAAACCAAACCTAGAACAACGATGTCTAAGCCTAGGACAGCGCTGCCTAGAAGATTTTCAGCAGACCCAATTTTAATCAAATCCCACAAATTGTGCCAATCACCCATTAAATGTTTTGATCCGTTGGAGCCTATTTTTCCACTATAAAATGGGGTGTTTGGGTCTGTTTTTAACATCACATTACTTCACAACTCCTATTCTTTCATTACATATTATTCATACATTATTCATAGCTTTTCGAGAGCCATTTTTGTGAAGCTTGTGTTGTGTTCTTGAGCGTACTTAGTTTACTCATAATCTACTCTATAAGAGAGCCTCGTTCTTGAGTGTATTCGTGTTCTTAGACACTTTGAGAGAAAGTATTTCTCTCGGTAGATTCAAAGGAAGGGCTGTTTCCTTTGAAGGACTCGTTGAGGTTCGTGTAACTCGAACTCTCAAGTTGTAACGATTTCTTAAGCACCCGCAAGCTTAACGAGATAGTAGTGTAGCTCGAGAGAGTCTCTCGGGAGGCTAGATTAGCCACAAGTTGTGGTGAACCAGGGTAAAATTCGGTGTGCCTCTTACTCTTCTCTTTACTTCTTTTTTAATTTTTTAATTCATGCGATTTCTACGATCAAACGCTATTCACCCCCCTCTAGCGTTGGTCACTTATTCTAACAAATTCCATTGCTGAATGGTTGTTTTAGTTCCTTTTAGCGCTGCAGACATAGCAGGGCTATCTTCATTGTAGATTGCTGCAGTGTATATTTTTCATATGTTCCACGCTATAATACCAGGTGTATAAATATCTATACACACACACACACACACACATGTATGTGTGTGTCTATATATATATATATATATATATATATATATATATATATATATATATATATATATATATATATATATGGGATTGACTCCAGTGAGATGACACCTTACGATGAGATGACATGTTTCGGTTAGATGACGTAAAGCTCACCACTGGCCACTGCAAAGCTCACCGAAGACAATTACAAAGCTCACCAAACTGTTAGGCAAAGCTCACCATATTTTTCAACACTTTGAATTTTTTTTGAAAAAAAAAATCAAAGGATGGGGTGCTGACTAGACTTTGACCATTGACCGTTGACCATCGCCGGCCGCCGCCGACCACCAGCGCCAGCTGCCGCCAGTCTCCGTCGCGCCACCGCTGCTGACCGGTGGTTGACCAGTGTTGTTATTTTATTTTTAATTATTTTTTTAATTTTCAAAATTAAAAAAAAGGTGAGTTTTGGTGTTCAAAGTGGTGAGCTTTGCTTTATTTCTAGATGAGCTTTACATTGGTCATTGGTGAGCTTTGCAGTGTAATGTGGTAAGCTTTGCAGTGTAAAGAGGAAAAGACTTTTATTAAATAATAAAGAGGATTACAGCAAGTTTGTGGAGGGCTAGACCTGGCCCCAAAGTTGAGAGGAAAGCAAAAACAACAAAGATATGACTGAAGTTCATAATTATGAATATATTAAGGAAGCTAAAACTCTTTTTCCACTAAGCCAGAAAAATTCTGCTCGCCAATGGTCGTGATTCTGGTTTGGGCCTTTGATCAACTATTTTTTCTTCCGATTTATCCAGCACCATTTTTGGATTAGGGAGTGTATGGTTTTGAGGAGGTGATGGGTGTTTTGAGTACCTTCAAAGAGAGCTGAGTTATGATTCTTCCATGAGGCCCATGCAATGAATCCAAGTACCACTGCCTTTAGATTTCCCTCGAATCCTTTTCCTTTTGCTGATGTCCACCAAGATAGAAGGTGTTCGGTGATTGTGCTGTCTGGTGTGGTAATGGCCCTTCAAGGAGTAATGCATAATGCTCCCATATTTGCATTGCAAAAGGGGCAAAGAAGAAGAGTGTTGTTAGAATAAGTGCCCTTCACTAGAGGGGGGGGTGAATAGTGAGGCACGAGAATGTTTATAAATTTTTGCGGAATAAAAATCGCAGGGATAAAGTAAAGAGCGGAATAAAAAGGAGTAAAGGGAGCACACCAAGATTTATACTGGTTCACCACAACGTGTGGCTAGTCCAGTCTCCCGAGAGACTCTCTCGAGCTACACTACTTCCATTAAGCTTACGGGTGCTTAACAAACCGTTACAACCTGAGAACTCGAGTCCCACGAGGCTCAATACACTTGCTCGGAGATACCGCACTCCAAGACTTCAACCCGAAGGAAAATACCTTTCCTTCGTACAACCAAGGGAAACAAGCTTCCCTAAACGTGTTTACAACACTAAGAACACTCAAGAACAAGAATCTCTTTAAGAGTAGATGTTGAGTAAACTATATACGCTCAAGAACAACTCAAACTTCACAAATTGGCTCTAGAAAGCTATGGAAAATAATGTTGTTTGGATGCAATGATAATATGAATAAAGTGAATTGAATTCATGAGAAAAGCAGACCCAAACACCCCTTTTTATAGTGCCAAAGTAGGCTCCAACGAACCAATACATTAAAGGGGTGATTGGCTTGATTTATGGGATTGAATAAATTTGGGATCTGCAGGATATTGGCTTCCCATCGATGTTTGGACTCACCCATCGCTGTTAAGCCAATTTCCCTTCAGGTTTGAAGCCAACGGTCACCTACCCATCGATGGGTACAAGCTTACCATCGCTGGGTGGGAAGTTGACTTCCAAACAATGAAAGAATCAGCCTTAAATGGCTTCCAACGGTCATGCCTTCCCATCGATGGTTAAGCCTTCCCATCGCTGGATTCCCATCGATGGGTAAAGCTTCCCATCGCTGGGTAAGGGCATTCTGCCTTGTGACAATGTTGGACCAAGGCTTGACCAGCGATGGGTAGAGCTTCCCATCGTTGTTTGGCATGGTTCTGGAATTCAATTGGGCTGAAGGCTGCTTACCCATCGATGGGTAATATCTCCCATCGCTGGGTGAAATGATTCTGGAATCCCGGGATTACTTTCCCATGCATGGGTGAAATCTACCATCGCTGGGTAGATGGCTAGTCCAAAACCATGGCTTAGCCGACCGGCACTGAAACCCGGCCGAAAAATGCAAAGTTCTCCAAAGTAAAAACTAAGTATATAAAACACTTATTTAATGTATTGTGATGTCAAAAAAAGCTTTTTAAGTTGAAAACCACGTCGTTAAGGTAAAAACCTTGGATGACCAAGTCAATGCCGTACACGGGTGGTTTTTACCAAAAGACAAAACCGAAAGGTGGTTTTCATGATGTTTTGATTGGAGAACCATTTAAATGCATTCAAAAACAATTCCTATACAAAAAGACTTGAAAACCACTTCATTTAAGTAAAAACCACGGCTAGCCAAGTTTATGCCGTTTCGCATGGTTTTTATCAAACGACAAAAAACGAAAGGTGGTTTTTGAAGTGTTTTTTTGATGGAAAACTATTTAAATGTGCCCAGAAGTAAAAAACCAATCATAAAAAGTTGAAAACCACTTGGTTGGTTCGGACGCCAAAAACCAACGCCGATAACCGAATGCCGAACGCCAGTTTCTGAAAACCGAACGCCGGTTTCCGAAAGCCGAACCCCGGATGGCTTGGTTTTTGGTTTGGGCGAACACTAAGTGTTTTTAATATGTTTGAACATGTTTGAAAATAATTTTGATGCTATGTAAAATGCAATAAAAAATGTTTTAGCCTAAAGAGCCAAAGTGCAAAGCTTGGGTCGGTCTTGATCACATTGTGACTGACTCAACGACGCTAAAGACTACCGTCTTTGTTCTTGGTCTCTTTTGGCTCTTTTTCTCTTGCTTTCTTATTATATTTATTTCTCGCCTTGTATATTCAACAACTTGTCTCGTTCACGGCGGTTTTGCATTATCAAAATCTGTCATAAAAATGAACACGGCTTTAGTACGAAAAAGCGATAAACCCGTGTTTCAACAAGTGTGTATATGTTCATCTTAATTGTTTATGCAAGCCATGCATATTCCCCTGATGGGCAGGGAATGAGTTCGGATATTGGGTGGGAAACGTAGAGCATTGTGCTGAAGCTTCCAAAGGAAAAGTTTGATGTTTGGGATTTGATATATATGCCAAATGAATCTGTTATGTATATGAGGGAGGGTGGGGGGATGGTACTCAGATATGCTGCGTTAAGAGTGAATTTTTCATCGTTTCATTTCATACACTCGTTGATTATGGATGTGAGCTTAGTTTCAGTGGCATGTACTCTAAGTATCCTTTTCCAAACTGCAGAATCAGGAAGCCTTTCCTTGAAGTTGTTGGTTTTGAGGTATTTTTTCCGCATGAAATTTGCCCAAAGACCATGGTCATTGTTGATTTTCCACCATATCTTGTAGGAGTAGGCTTGTTGGATATGATCAAGGGCCCGAATACCCAAACCTCCCTGGTCAGTAAGGAGGCAGATTTCTTTCCAGCTGATCCAATGGTGCTTCATTTTTCCGTCCTTTACACCCCAGAGAAAACGTTCCATTCTTTTATGGAGAGCATTGATGATGGATTAGGGGAGTGTGTGAACGGATAGGGTGTGAAGTGGGATGGATGAAAGGACATGTTTGATGAGTATTAACCTGCCCATGGGGTTGAGAGTCTTACTATACCAGGAATTAAGATGGGTATCAAAATGTTAAAGTAGCTTATCACAATGTGTTGGCCCTTGTGTTTTGATAATGACAACTATCTCATGGGCTTGGTACTTTGGATGTTGATCTTCACAATCATGCGTTGGATCTCAAGACAAGTGTGAAGATATAGTATTTTTGTTTTTTGTTTTGATCTTAGCATTTTTGTTAAAGTGTATGGCACGTTCGTTTGAAAATGTTTTCCAAAAACCCTTTAAATTGTTTTTGAGTCTGTTGCAAAATCACTTTTTCAAAACTGTGAAAACTATTCGAATAAATCTTGTTTTATTCGAATAAGGTAGAGTTTTCAGTTCTGACTTATTCGAATAGTTAGCAAATTATTCGAATAAGTCCTGAAGCTCATATCTTCAATCCTATAGTGACTTATTCGAATAAATATTCACTTAGTCGAATAAGTCTGCGTTTTTTGTTCTGAACTATTCGGATAAATCTGATTTTATTCGAATAAGTCATCAGTTTGAACTGCAAATTTGTCAGTTTTTAAGGAAGTTATTCATCCCTATCTTCCATGACTCACATACAACGGCTCTTTTGCTTGGGAGAACTATATTTATATTCATTCAAACATATTCTTCAAAAAAAATCCAAGCAATTCAATTCATACTTTTGATCCTTCAACATTACTTCCAAGCAATCTTCAAGAAATCAATATTTGCTTGAGTTTTGAAGAGTACTAGTGTGCCATACTCTATAAGTTCTTGTATTCTACAGCAATCCACTCTTAATTTGAAGAGTATTTCCGCTGTGCACTTTGTTTTGAAACAGTGTGTGAATTGTGAAAACTTGAAGTTGATATAATTCAAGTTTTGGAGAGAAATCCTGAGTCTTGTGAAATCAAGACTTCGGTGGAGAGGTTAGAGGCTTGCGAATTCAAGTTCTCGAGTTGTAATCGGATTGTCAAACTCCGTTAAGTTTGACGAAGTTAGTGGAATCTCGGGCACGTTTGCTTCGGGGACTGGATGTAGGCATTAGGCCGAACCAGGATACATCGTGTGTTGCTCCTTCACTTCATCTTTGTGTTCTTGTCGTTGATATACTCCTGCGAATTTTTGTTCTTCCAAAAGTTCTTGATTTTTGAAGAACACCTCTATTCACCCCCCCTCTAGAGGTGCGTAAGTTGTTCAACACAATGATGCTTCTTCAATTTCCATTTAGTGATAGTAGCTCCTAGGTATTGCCACGAGTTGGTGCCTTGTTTCATCTGTAGAACTCATGCAGTTGCTGAGATTGTTGTTGCCTTTGCATTTTTCCCGCAGTGGAATTTGCTTTTATTGAGGTTAATATCTTGGCCAGATGCTTGGAAATAAGTGTTGAAGACTCCCTTAAGGCGTAAGATGTTTCTGAAATGGCCATTTGCAAATATAATTAAATCATCTGCGTAAGCCAAGTGAGAGAGTCTTGGTACCTGTCCTGCATTGAAAGATGTTAGAAAAGGGGTGTTTAAGTGATGGTTGAGGGTGCGGGTAAGGCCTTTTGTAGCCAAAATATAAAGGAGGGGTGAGAGGGGGTCTCCCTGCTTGATGCTCCTCTCCAAAGGGAAAAACCAGTTGGTTGGTCATTGATGATATATATATATATATATATATATATATATATATATATATATATATATATATATATATATATATATATATATATATAAAATTAAAAAGTGATGTTTATTAATGAGAAAGAAGGGGAGAGATACAAAAGAGGGAGGACTAGACCAAAAAGGAATTCAAGAGGACTAGGAACGCGGCTTCCACGCCCCCTCCCGCAAGTATTGTGGCCACGCCCCGCATATGGAACGCGGCTACTATCATGTCAGGAGGTTCTCCTTTATGGCGGATTTCAATGGTTGGAGTTTCAGGATCGCTTTCTTCATAAGTTTCATTTTCATCATGGTCTTGAAGGACTTCGACTTCGAAAAGATTGGCATCGACATGTTTTGGACCTATTCCTTGTATTGATTGAAATGGATTTTTTGGTTGCATGAAATTGAGTTGTTGGTGCCCTCGTTTCAATTCTGCAATTTGCTCCGTGAAGCTCAATTTTTGGAATTCTTGTAACGAAGGGCTACTTCGTTGTTCGGTGACTTTGATATACCTGGAAAAAGACCTAGGCTCAAAAGAAATGTTAGTATTCCCCTCCTGGGTGTGGGGTGAAATCGGTTCTGCCTCGGTGAGAGCATCCTTACCGCCCTCGTCATCTTTTCCAGAATGAACTTTGGTGTGGGTAGATGGATCAGATATAGTATCATCATTTCCAATGGGAGGGACCGTAGTTTCTGATGGAGTGCCATCCGAGGACTCGCTGTGAGTCTCGTGTGCTCTCATATTTTCATCGGTATGATTAGGGTCGTAACCATCCTTTTGAGATTGGGGGAGGATCCGGGGTGACAAATCCTGTTCAACAGAGCAGGAGGGTCCTTTTTTTGTGAATTCAAGCTCACATGGACCAGTCAGTAATGGACCAAAATAGTATCTGTTGGGAGGGACAAAGGAATACTGTCCAAACCTGTAAGGGTAGGGCCATTCAAAGTCAAGTTGGCATCAGTTGGAGGGGCCAAAGCAGTACTGTCCAAACGTGGTGGAGGGCAGGGCCCTATGTCCCTTGTTGTGACGTACTGTTGACCAGTTTCAAGGCTACCAAAGGTAATGGGGGTAGTAGAGGTTGGCACAGCTGCGTTGCTAGGAAACAGACCGACTGGCCAGGGGTCACAGCCTTGCCTTTTGGCTTGGTTTTCATAACCTAGCGAGAGTTTCTGGTTCCTGATTTGCAGGACTTGTGACCCAATTGATGGCAGGAGTTACAATAGGATGGCAGATTTTCAAAAAGAAGGGGTTGGAGGTAGGATGAGCTACCTAAGTGTATCCAAATAGCCTTCGGAAGTTCCTTTGAAAGGTTAACCTCCACACAGACTCTGGCCACATTACGCCTACTCAAATTCACAGTGGCTGCATCAGTTTGCAGAGGAGAGCCAAGTAGTTTAGCAATGGAGAATGGGGTGGGTTTGTCAAAGAGATGGATTGGTAGTCCCTCTAGCCATACCCAAACTGGGACTAGAGGGGATTCCACCGACGGGTCGAAATCTGCAGTCCATCGGAAAACTCGCATATAGGAGGAACCTATATTCCATCGGTTTCTCAATAAACAATGGAGAAAATCAGTTTCAGATTCAAATTGCAGCAGAACATGAGAATCATCAAGTAATCCCAATTTAAACGAATATGAGAATCCAATTTTCTCTAGGGTCTTAAGGATAAAAATAAGAGGAGGCCTTTTCTCATTGAAACTACTCACAAGGGATTTTCGAAACTTACTTGATAATCTATGAATCTCCTCATCAGAGAATGAAATCGAGGGCAAACCCTTGAATTTCGCCGTCAGGTGTTGGGGTGAACCAACATCAGCGAAGGAACGAAAGTTATCCGACATCGCTGAAGAGTCAGAGACGCCATCGCTATATATATATATATATATATATATATTAAAAAAAATTATTAATATTATTGGAACGGTCGGTTACAAGCAGGGGGCCCGAGGCACGTTAACCTCGTGACCGCCTCGGGGCCCGTTAAAACCCCGAGGAAGATAGCCCACTATAAGAAGCCCAATCCAAAGCCCAACCCCATGAATCTGCAAACACTTCCGAGGCGGTCACCCATCATATATGCTACTCCATGACCAGCACGCTTAACTCCCTTAAAATTCTTCTAAAGTTGCCCCTTCTAAGGATCAAACCCGGGTGGTGTGGTTCCCCAATCAACCCTATGACCATTATATATATATATATATATATATATATATATATATATATATATATATATATATATATATATATATATATATATATATATATATATATATGATGGCTTCTCTCACTAAACAACTCTCTACATACAACTATGGCTTCTCTGCCGTATAACGAAGCTCCGTTCCGGTCCCAATGGCTTCCCAAGTTCCCGGTCTCCTACGCCGAGGTACCAAAAGCTACGCTGATACCCTCGGATCTCTCTCACTTGGAGCTGGAGTTCCACATTGCCAACGCCCAACAGTCAAAAAAAGCTTCACAGACATCCTGGGATCTCAACCAAGCGATGCCCAAAATAGAATCGGAAGATACAAAGGATTCCCTGCTGTCTCCTTCACCCCAGATGAGGTAATTTCCCTTTCAATCCCATACCAATTCGCACTTGTGGGTCGTTTCTTGAAATCAAGACCTCCTCTGGAGGTTATCCGTAAAAGCTTCGAGAAGATAGGGTTCAAACCAGGCTTCACGGTTGGATTATTTTCCCCATCCCTTATTCTTATAAATTTTGATTGCCCAATTGATTATCAACGTTGCTTCTCAAGAAGGTTGTGGAATATCAATGGAAGCCAGATGGTGGTGTCCAAATGGACCCCTTCCTTCCATGCTGACACTGAGAGCCCTGTTTTTCCGGTTTGGGTGTCTCTAACCCATCTACCCATCCATCTTCAAGAAGCTAAGGCATTGCACTCCATTGCGAGCTCCATCGGTCACCCGCTGATGATGGATGCATCTACATCAGCAAAAACTAGACCCTCAATGGCTAGATTCTGCGTCGAGATTGATATCTCTAAAGATCTCCCAAAGAAAATTTGGATTGATAATGGCGGGCTGGGTTTCTTCCAACCGGTGACCTACGAAAACCTACCACAATTCTGCATTCAGTGTAAAAAATCCGGCCATTTAGCCGGAAAATGCTCAACTATGGACATTCCCAAGAACGAAGTGTCCAAGAATAACCTACCAAAAACCTGGAACCCCATTTCCAAGAATGAAGTGTCCAAGGATAATCTGTCCAAAAGTGCTGCTGTGATGCTAGAGCCCCTTCCCAATAACCCATGTGAATTGGGTCCCAAACATGACAGTAAACCTTCTTGTGATACGATGCCAAACACTGCATGTCAAACGAAGTTAGAGGTAGACCATGCTGTCCCAGATTTTTCCCCAGAGCCTAACGGAGATGAACTTGCACCTCTAGAAGCTACGGAGATTAACCTCACTACCTTTTGTAAAGAGGACAATCCCAAAACTCAAGCTCTAAATGTTCAAAGTGATGCTCAAACTGAGAGCCACAATGACGTGCTGCATCTGGAAAAAAATTCTGGTGCTGCATCTGGAAAAAATCAGCATGAAGTAATGTTTGATACCAACACTGGAGCTGTTGCTAATCATGATGAAGTGTGTGTGCCCACTGATGCTGCTGTTTTAGATGAACTAGATGAGCAATTAGAAGCTGAAATGGAAAATCTGACTACGGAAGCAGATCTGGAACATACACAAGAACAATCAAATGAGGAAAGCATGAATGATATGATTGCACAAAATGTTAACTGTGTAGGAAATACAATCAACCTGGAAGAATTTCCAGTACTCACAAGGCAAAATATCGAGGAGGATGTACACACTCGAACCGAGAATGTAGAGGCGGCTGTACCCACTCCAACCGAGATAGAGAAGGATGACACAACTGGGATTCTAACTCTGATTGCTGAAGATACAACAAAGGAAACAATCCCAAATAATTCAGATGGCAGCATAGGACAAATCCTCCACTCCTTTGAGCTTGAAGGTCAACATTATGAAATTAGGTCCTACATTGAGGAAGGACAAACGTCAAACCACAATGAAGAAAACTTCACAACTCATGAATTCCAAGAAGTCCAGAATAGAAGAGGTAAAAAGAAGCAAGCTATGCCAAGGACCATCAAAACCAGAAGCTATGATCCTAATCTCGAAGTCCGGACTGTGAGCGAGATCATGAGATACTGGCCCAATCGCAAATCCACTACTTTGGAGAAAATAGTTACTACCAAAAGTTATTCTGGCCCCTTTTGGTACGTTGGGCCCGTTGGTCCAATTGGCACTGACGGGAAAAGACCGAAGAAAATAATGCCCAGAAATCTCTCCCTCGATCAACACCCCGGTTTTATAATCTGGGAATGATCTTTTTTCATTTTGATTTATTTCAATTTCCCTTTTACAATTGTTTTTCCTTTCTCGCAATTTTTGAGGGGCATTGGCTTAGTCCTCCCTTCTTTGTACTTTCCTTTACTTTGCATTTAATAAAATATCTCCTTTAATAAATAAATAAATAAATAAATAAATAAATAAATATATATATATATATATATATATATATATATATATATATATATATATATATATATATATATATATATAATTGTAGACTGGCCCCATAAACCAACACAAGTCTTTCGCGCGCACTTTGCCCTCACTCGTGCGCGCCAAGGAATTTCCCGGGGGGTAACCCAACCTAAAATTTCTCCAGGTCAAGCACGCTAAACTTTGGAGTTTTTAGGTGATGAGCTCTCGAAAAGAAGATGCACCTTGTAGGTATGAGTAGTACTATCAATCCTTTTTGAGCTCTTCCCATTCCCATCTTAATACGGGGTATTACATTCACCCCCACTTAGGAATGCAACGTCCTCGTTGCATCCTTTTTTTTAAACCCTTAGATCTTCCCCGCTAGGTGAACTAAGCTCTTTTGGCCCGTCACGGTCGCAACTTGTCTCTGATACCATTTGTAACACCCCGACCCCCACCCTAGCCGTAAGTGTTCGATCATAGGATTATAGACTGGCCCCACAAACCAATACACATCTTTCCCGCGCATTTTGTCCTCACTCACGGTCGCAACCTGTCTCTGATACCATTTGTAACACCCCGACCCCCACCCTAGCCATAAGTGTTCGATCATAGGATTATAGACTGGCCCCACAAACCAACACACATCTTTCCCGCGCACTTTGTCCACACTCATGCGCGCCCAAGGAAAACTTCCCAGGGGGTCACCCATCCTAAAATTACTCCAGGTCAAGCACGCTTAACTTTGGAGTTTTTTAGGTGATGAGCTCTCGAAAAGAAGATGCACCTTGTTGGTATGAGTAGTAATATCAATCCTTTTGAGCTCTTCCCATTCCCATCTTGATACGGAGTATTACATTCACCCCCACTTAGGAATGCAACGTCCTCGTTACATCCTTTTTTATGAACCCATAGATCTTCCCTGCTAGGTGAACTAAGTTCTTTTGGCCCGTCACGGTCGCAGCGTTGCTCTGATACCATTTGTAACACCCCGGCCCCCACGCTAGCCGTAAGTGTTTGCTCATAGGATTGTAGACTGGCCCCACAAACCAACACAAGTCTTTCCCGCGCACTTTGTCCTCACTCGTGCGCCTAAGGAATTTCCCAGGGGGGGTCACCCATCCTAAAATTTCTCCAGGTCAAGCGCGCTTAACTTTGGAGTTTTTAGGTGATGAGCTCTCGAAAAGAAGATGCACCTTGTTGGTATGAGTAGTACTATCAATCCCTTTTGAGCTCTTCCCATTCCCATCTTAATACGGGGTATTACAATCACAAATCAGGAACAGTAACCCAAAAGTCACGGTAGGCCGGTACCATACTCACGGTAGCAAGGTATTGTGCGTACGGTAGGGGGTACCGTGAATGGCGGTACCTCGGTACCTTGTAGCACAAAAACTTAATTCGGCTCTGGCGGAACCTGACCCCTAACGGTAGAGGGGTACCGTGCCGGCGGTATACCCTATCGTTGGGACGGTATAGGGTACCGTTCAAGGTACCGTGCCACTGTCCTGTGTTTTTCCAAAATTCCAGTAATCCTTCGTGTTTGAGTTTAAACCTTTTGGATATTTGAAAATGTTTATGGGATGGTTTTAAACATAATTTGTGAGTGCTTTTGATCTTGTGAATATAGGTATATAAAATCATGTCCTTACATTGGTTTCTACCTATATTCTACGCTAGTTTGGTGTTTCAACTTCATTCTTGAGTACCGAATCTTAATGGATTCTTTTTGTACCTGAAACACTTAAACAAACGTCAAGGTCTTATATTGTTTGTTAACATCAAAACATGAGACTTAGGAAACCAAGGCTAACAGTCAGATCATTTCATACCTATCAGACGTGACACATCATTGAAAAGATTATCAGAACTGTACATTTGTGAGATCGTAAGATTACATGGTGTGCCTCTATCGATCATTTTTTATCGTGATCTTCGGTTTACGTCACAGTTCTGTAAAAGTCCGCAAAAAGCGCTAGGTACTAAACTCAACTTTAGTACAACATCTTACTCTCAAACACACGAACAATCTGAGAGAACAATTCAATTCTTAGAAGATATAATGAGAGCATGTGTGATAGATTTTTGAAATAATAGAGAACAATACCTACCATTAATGCAGTTCGCTTATAAAAACAAATATCAAGCAAGTATCTAGATGGCCCCATATGAAGCATCGTATGGAAGGCATTGTGGAACCCTAGTCTATTGGATTGAATTAAGTGGCTTCTGACCTAGTCCGAGAAACTGAAGAAAAAGTTCGCTTCATAGAGAAAGATTGTAAGTGGCTTCCGATCATTAGAAATCTTATGCCGACTTGAAACGTTGTGAGATTGAATACAATGTGGATGACATGGTGTTTCTGAAAGTTTCACCATGGATGAAGGTGCTACGATTTTGTAGGAAGGGGAAATTAAGCCCACGGTATATTGGACCCCATCGAATCACTGAGCGTGTGAGTCCAGTAGCCTATTGGTTAGAACTTCCCCTAGAACTGAACAAGATCCACGATGTACTTCATGTGTCTATGCTAGAATGTTATCGTTCTGATCCATCGCATATCCTGACCAATGGAACTGTAACCCTCGACGAATGTTTGACCTATGAAGAAGAACCTGTTCAAATTTTGGCACGTGAAATCAAGGAACTGAGAAACAAGTCTGTTTCTCTAGTCAAAGTACATTGGAGGAATCACTCAACTGAAGAAGTTTCTTGCGAAACCAAAGAGTCAATGAGGATGAAATATCCAAATCTCTTCAACCAATGACTCAGGTAATTTGGAGGATGAAATTATTTTAAGAAAGAGAGAAATGTAACACCCCGAAAACATGCTTATCAGAGTTAATTAATTTATAATTAATAAAGTACTGAGAAGGACCCAAAAATATGTGATTTATAAAGTTTGTCAATTAATTTTGAAATTATACCGTTGTGTAAAATTTGATTATTTGATTGCAATGGTACAATCAGAGTTTAATTCGCCCGAAAGAAAGTTGGACGAAAAAGTGTACCCCGACTAGGACCAATTATAGTCCCATTGAGCTAGAAATGTGTAAATCTCCCTAAAGACACACTTCTACCGATTAAACATTGGCTAATTGGAATCCTGACTAAGTCAATGTCTTCTTCCTCCTCTTCTTCACTATATAAGAGACACTCAATCTTCCCATTTCTTTACCATTCTCCTTATTTCTTCTTGTTGTGAGATCCTTGGAGTGTGGGGCGTGATGTGATGTTGTCCATAGAGTGAGAGGTAACCGGAGTTGGTAGCAATCCTCGCCCGAAGTTTCGTCGGTATTTTCCCAAAACCTCCATTTTCGCCCTAGGTAAGCCCTTGGATATGTCTAGAGATTAGAATGTTATTATAGATCATTTTTATTTTCATAAATGGTCGTTTAAATGAGTTTTGTGTTTGACATGCTTAAAGAACCAAAAATCATAAAACTTGAAATTGTTATTAAAACATCAAATTTATGATACCAAAATGATCTCTGAATTCTGGAGAACCTCTCCTATTAAGTATAATTAAAGTTTGATGGCTAAAAATGAAGTTTTCGAAAATTGGCTTGAGATTGAAGATGACACTGTTCAAAACTCGCGCAGAGACGGTATCGAGCCACCGTCGAGACAGTACCAAGGTAGCGCCTGAACTGTAGGCCATACCAGCGATAACGGTTGGCAGGTTACCATCACAAGCCAAATTTCTCTAGCAGTACCTGACACCAAGCGGTACCACATACCGTCTGGATGGTACTGAGGTACCGTGTACCAGTACCGATGTACCATAACGATACCGTCTTAACTGGAAAAAAATTCACAAACCTGATTTTTGAACAACAAAATCCTATTTTTGATACCATTCAATTATAAATCAGTATGAATACCATTTACAAGCTAAATATGGTGTTTTGATGAAATCAAGAACCTTGTATGATGCATGACAGTAAGATAGGGTGTTAATACTCGATGTTAGACCGCTAGTTGTTTTAAAGTATTATGATGATTATCGTAGATTATTGATTATCCTGATTAAATAATGAGTTAATAATTATTTTATTAAATATTAACTATGATGGTTAAAATAATGCCATGTGTAATTATGATTATATAATGATGACGGTCTTATCGTGGCAAAATATCAAAATATTGTTATTAACAAATAAACCGTAAAGATAATTGTGATTGAATAAGTTTGTGTGAATATCTTGATTAAATGACTATTACGAATGATTAAGGCTATCTAGACGAACTCTAAGATAGACCCCATATGACCAATCTTGTTAGGCCTTGCGAGTATGATGTTCGGTGGCTTAGGTTAAAACGTATTGATGAAGAATTTTGGTTAAACTCAAAATTCCCGTAGTAGTAAAGGGAACAGACTACATCTTAAAGATCAGTTTATCCCGTGTCGTCTCAAGGATCGGACCAAGGGAAAGTTAAGCAAGACTAGCTAGACAAGATTTACTTGTTGAATCGAAAAGTTTTCAAGAAGTCGGATAAGGAATGAAAAATGATTTTAACCTTTCAGGAATAAAAAGTAGGGATGTAATTATTGGTTAGGTGATGGTTCTTTTAAGAGTGAAATCATCAGTTACTTTTACTTTAAATCTTTTTACTAGTAAGTAAATACTTTTTCAAATATTCACTTAACAATTAATCCAATGTCTAGAGATTAATTATCAAAATTACAGGACTTGACTTAATTAAATTCCAGATTTCTCAAGAAATATAATTTTCAAGAATAGATTTGCTTTCTCTCGATTTACAAATCTCAAGTATAAATTCTCAGTAATAAAAACTAGTAAATTGCCTTTGTCAGCAAAATAGTTCAACTCAACGATTTTACCGAAAAATTACCATCACCATACCCTAAGTTACATCCCTAATTAATTGAGCTACTCATAAATAAAGCCTTTAACACACAAGCATAATGAGAAGACATTTTTTCAATTTATGAATTAAAGTAAAAAAAACTTACTTTAACAGATCTGAAGAACAAGAGGTCCGTGCTACAATTTGCTCCTTGAAAAACTCCAAAAAATGATACTAATCTAAAATATGAGAGTAACCTTGTAGATCTAGGCTAAAAGAAGAGAAATTCGGATTTTTGAGAGTGAAGAGGCGCTGTCCAGCGTGCAGAATCAGAGAGGGGGAAGTGCTGTATTTATAGGGATGGACGCAAAGCATCCAACCCAATCCGTCCAGATCCAAAGCGTCCAAAGTTGGACGCCTTACGCATCCCGTCCATTCACTGTCTGCCACGTGTCTTTTGTGATGCACCATCATCGCCAAGCGTCCAAGGCGAAGCGTCCAACCCGCAAAGCGTCTAAGGTTGGACGCTTTGGGCCTTCCCTGTGGGCTTTTCCGCGGCTTGGCCCAATTCAGACCCAATTTCCATTTTCACTTGGCTTCATGACTTGTTTCTGCTTCCTCTGATATTCTCATGATAAAATTAAAAACTTCTTTTTCTTACAAATATAAGTAGAAAAATCAACAATCAAGACTGGATCAATTTTAAACCCATTATTATTCCTTAAAGAACAAATCAAAGATATTGTTCAGTTTAACATAAAATTATGTACTGCCTATCACTATTTTCGTGCAAAAACGCTTAAATTATGTTGAACAGAATAAGAACAGACTTCGTTAAATAGCTGTATTTTTAGGGTTGTCTCTCATTTCTTCTGAAAATATGCAAAGTTTTCACGAAACATGTACTTTTACTTGATTAAATCAAATAGAGGTAAACCATTTACTGAAACGAATGTATTTCTTAAAAGAATTGTTAAGACCAAAAAGATTCAACTATCTTTTGTAAAGCCCATTGTTCACGAATAATTGCCAATAATGTAAAGGTCTTAATATAATAACTTCAATTCGTATTGTTTCTCGACGAGAAGGCTTCTCATTTCACAGGAACTTAATAATTTCACCAAAATTGTGGATTCATTCTATGACAAATGCATACTTGCTCCCTTGCTTTATGCAATTAGCGGGAGAAGCAGAGCCCCTTTTCTGGAGATAGAATTTCCAATTCGTCACTTAAGCGCAATCTTAACGAAAATTATAATTAAAGGTTACAAGTAGCAAATATTAAGTGCAAACCTTTACACATTGTTAAGAATTCTAGTGAAATCAATGGTTTTTAAAGGAAATTAAAGTATCTGACTTAAGAAAACTTTTAAGAAAATACCAGTTAATTTCAGCAATGGCAGTAGTCTATTTGAAAAAAAATAGATAAAAATAAGAGTTTGCCAAAACTTTGAAAATTCCCAGTTTATATGCTTGACAACCTATCAATTACATATTCAATATTAGACTGATGATTATGCTAAAACCAAAGTTGCCTACAAGTATACATGTAAAACATGTTTCATTCAATCATTTCAACCAGATAAATTTCCTCCTCACACTTGAACACAACTACGTCCCCGCAGTTGGAAAAAAAATGTTCAGGAGTATAATACCACGTTGGAATGATTGATTAATAATAAAAGAACTTACACACATCAATAATCCAAAAATGGTTGATGAAAATAGAAATAAAGCAAGTCATAAGTAAATGTTACCGGCGGAAAATAAGAAGTTCCAACAAATCCAGTTGATCATAAATTTCTGCTCATAAATGAAAGGAAATAAATGTTTTAAAGGAGAATAAGAGAAAGATCACTGAGGAGGAGGAGCAGAGGAAGATGGATCGTCGCCCTCAGGAGAACGGGGAGTGAGCCCAATGTGCACATCCGAATGGAAGCCAATGAAAATATTCCGAAGCTGAGTAAAGCTCTCAGCCTGGGATGCATGCTGCTGTCCGATCTCGGACATCCTCTGCAGGATGGTCTCCTGCTGCTCCATGATCCTCCTAGCCCATTCAAGAATCAGATCCGCTTGGGTCGGGGCTGCAGGAGTCTGAGAAGTGGTGGGACGACGACGGGTGGCTCTCTTAGATGAAACCTGCAAAGATGCTCCTGAGGTCGAGGGCGCAAATGAGGAGGCGTCGTTGCTCTCGGTAGAGCTAACTCCCAACCTCCTGCGGATATGAGCATTCCTCAGCATGCCTGTATCCAAATCTCTCATCAGCATCTAGAGCTGCAGAATGGGCGTCGACCCCACGAGCGATCGGAAGAGTATGGTGACCACGAAACCACAGACAATGTGCGTCCAATTCCCCATGGACTGGCTGTAGAGGAATCGGGCCACAAAGACGGCCACATTCGCCTCCTGGCGTGTGTGCAGGCTCCAGAACACAATCATATCATCGGGGTAGACCCGATCCGTGTTCAACGACCTTCCAAAGAAGGACGTTGAAAGCACAAAAGATAGGATTCGCCAAGTCGGTTGAATCCAGAACCTCGCCCGGCCCATGCTATCAAAGCGGTCCGGGTCAGAAGAATGCTCCGCCCAAAAGTCAGCAGGATCAACGTCTTCAGGAAGAAGATGCGGTGCGGCATCGAACTCTGGCACCGACGTCTCCTCCTAAGTGTAGAGACCCAAGTGTGTGGCCAGATCGGCGACCGTAAGCTGAAACCCCTGCCCCAGGAGAGTGAAAGTAAGGGTGGTATGAGAGTCGATGGACTGGAGGTTCATCGACCGCGACCTCGTGGATGGCTCCAACTCCAAAGAGCATAGGAACTTAATCGTCAGTGGCAGGCTAGACTCAGCCCGCATCGTAAAGAGGCGGTGCCACCTCGTCCCCTGCAGCAGCTGCTCCATCTCCTCGGCGTACCCGTAATCGGCAAGAATTGCCGAGGACAAGTACATACACTCCGTCAAAGAGCGGTGGCGGCCCCACATCTCAAACCGCTCGATGGGCCCTGAACCCACCAAGTGAACGTCGGCACGCGTAGGAGTCGGGTATGCTGGTCTGTGAGGCATCTGCACATGAAACACATATATAAAATCTTGCCCCCACATAGGTGCGATAAGTCTCCGTTCATTTATTCAAATAAGGAATAAAAGAAAATAATAATTGAATAAGGTAAAGAGAAATAATGGGTTGACTCCCGTCCAGCGCTTCTTTAATGTCACTAGCTTGACGCAATTACTTCATCACTTGTGGAGTTTAATCTCCACCTTCCCTTTCTGAAGCTGCTCACCAAAATACCTCTTAATCTGTTGACCATTGACCTTGAACGTTCCAGAATCACCTCTTAACTCTACAGTCCCATAGGGAAAGACTCTGGTGATTGTGTATGGCCCAGTCCATTGGGAGCAAAGCTTGCCTGGGAATAACCTCAAACGAGAATTATAAAACAGCACTTGTTCTCCTTCGTGAAAGACTCTACTCTGCTTGATATGAGAGCATCATGGTAAATCTTCATCCTTTCCTTATATAGTTTAGCATTATGGAATGCTAATGCTCGCCATTCGTCTAGTTCATCTAATTGATAAAATCTTTCTCGTCCAGCTTCAGAAGAATCAAGGCAAACATTTCGCAGTGCCCATAACGCCTTATGCTCAATTTGTACTGGAAGGTGACAAGCCTTCCCATACACCAAGTGAAAGGGAGTTGTACCAATCGGTGGTTTATACGCGGTGTGAAATGCCCATAGAGCATCATCTAGTTTCTCGCTCCAATCCTTCCTTGTACGGGCGACAGTCTTCTCCAAGATTCTCTTCAAATCCTTGTTTGCATTCTCCACCTGTCCTTGCGTTTGAGGGTGGTATGCCACTCCTCCTCTATGTTGAACTCCATAACGTTCCAATGCCTTAGACAGGGGATCATTACGGAAATGGGTACCTTTGTCACTTATTATTAGTCTCAGAACTCCAAATCTTGAAAACAATTTCTTTAAGAACCTAACCACAGTGTGCCCATCGTCCCTTTTGCAAGCTTGGGCCTCAACCCATTTGGAGACGTAGTCAATGGCCCCACAAAGTCGATTCCCCATACATCAAACACTTCACACGGCAGCATGTAATGTTGCGGCATCTCATCCCTCTTGGATATATATTGCCCGATCTTTGACAGCGGTCGCAGGAAGCAGCAAATTGATTAGCATCTTTAAAAAGCGTTGGCCAGAAGAATCCTGAGTCCAACACTTTCCTTGCTGTCATTGCTCCTGAGAAATGTCCGCCAACTGGGCCACTATGGCAGGCTGCCAAAATTTCCTTCCCTTCAGCTTCGTTTACACATCGTCGAACCACTTGGTCTGCACAGACCCTGAAAAAGTATGGATCATCCTAGAAATAGAAGTGAGCTTCTTGCTTAAGCTTTTTGCTTAGGTGCGGTGTCAGCAAGGTAGGTTCGATCTTTCCTGCCAGGTAATTGGCAATATCCGCATACCAAGGCTCTTTCTCTTGTATAGCGTAAATCCTCTCAAAGGGAAAGGATTCGTTTACTACACAATTGCCAAATTGCTCTGCTACCTCCACATCTAATTGAGACAGATGATCTGCAGTTTGATTGGCCGATCCTTTCCTATCCTTGATTTGTAAATCAAATTCCTGCAACAATAACACCCAACGTAATAACCGAGGCTTCGCATCATTTTTCTGCAACAGGTATCGCAACGCCGCATGGTCGGTGTAAACGATAACTGGAGAAAGAATGATGTAAGGCCTAAATTTTTCCAAAGCATACACAATTGCCAGGAATTCCTTCTCTGTGGTTGTGTAGTTAAGATGTGCTCCTGAAAGAGTTTTACTAGCGTAGTAGATTGGGCAAAAAACCTTTTCTTTCCTCTATCCAAGGATCGCTCCTACAACTAAGTCGCTGGCGTCACACATAAGTTCAAACGGTAGTGCCCAATCTGGGGCAATAAGAACTGGGGCTGAGATCAGTTTCTCCTTCAAAGTATTGAATGCTTGTAAACATTCATCCGTAAAAACAAACTCTATACCTTTTTCTAGTAGGGCAGGAAGGGGCTTTGCTATTTTAGCAAAGTCTTTGATGAATCTTCTGTAGAATTTGAAAATCAAATTTTGGGATTTGAATGAGTCAAATTTTGACACCAAAGTCAAAATCAACTTGTGGGGTGCAATTGAAGGGGGTGGGAGTGTGTGTTCGGGTCGGGGCCGGGTTGGGGGGTTTACCGAGGGGGTTAGGGGGGTAGGAACCGTCAATTTTACGAACGGGGAACCGGAGCACTCCTGGATCATCCTATGACATTGAGATCCAATGTCACTTGAACCTTGGTGAGTTATGTGACCTATTATGGATGTAGACCACCTAATAGGGAGCTCTTTGAAAAATTTAATTAATTACTCCCTCCGTCCCCCTGTATTTGTCCACTTTCATTTTTGCACACCATCCAATGCACTTCTTTAATCCATTTTATCTTATAATTTGTATATTAAAAAACTATAAAAATTATATATTAATAATCTATATGTTAAGACAAATCAAACAACATCACACATGACTATATTTAGGCTTAGACATTGAGAGAATTGATGAGTCAAAGTGCTTAGATGAACAGTTCCAAAAGTCAAATGTGGACAAATACAGGGGGACGGAGGGAGTATATTACAAAGAGTCCTTTTTGTAATATACCCTTAATTTTTGGAACAATTTTTTTTGAAACGACACAAAAATAACTTTACATTTCTTCATTTTCATTTTTAGGAAACAAATTTTCCATATGTAGATATGGTTCGTTTTGTTTTTTACAAATAAATTTTAATCACACTTTTTTGTAATTTCTCCACATTTTCATTTTTTAAAAAATTTTTGTGTAGTAAAAAACGGAAGAAGGTCATGTTTTCTTTAACTTATTCTTATTGATTATAACTTTTTCTTATTATAATCAGTTAAGATCAAATCAAAAGCAATTTTAAATATAAAAAATTTAGATTAGATCAGACTTGATCAAAAATTATTCCATTCAGATAAGCCGAAATAATGCATTAGACTCAGTGGTTATGTTTGTATCTCCTTGATATATATTATATACTACCTCCGTCCTTGAGTATTTGTTCAGTTTTGACTTTTTTCGGTGAATGATTTTCAACCTTTAACCTATAATTAAATAAAATATATATTGTATTTTAATTAAATAAAATAATATTTTGAAAATATTTGATATAATGAATCTAATAAAAAAGTTTTTATATCAATATCTAATATCATTTTTATTTAATATGATATCAAAATTTACCAATTTTGATCAAAAAAATCAAGTAAACAAATATTCAAAGAGGAAGGGAGTCAAACAAAGTTTTAAACTCATAGCGGCTTTCAAGGTTATTGTTGAATGTGTTTGACCCTAACCTTTTTCAATGATCGCAGAACCCGTCGTCGAACAAATCATTCCTAAATCCTAACACGTTTTTTCTTGGTGAATTAAAAGTAGGCATTTGTTTTGCTTCAATCCGAAGTTTCTAAAGCTGCCATTTTGAACGTGAACTGAAACCAGAGCCACCACATTTTCACCAGCTTCTCTCTTCTGCTTCAGACAAGGTCTTGTTTGTGTCTGGTCTGGTCCTTTCCCGAGCTCATCAGATCTGCCGAGTCAAAGTAATGGCAGAAGACAAGGATGCGACCTCAGTCCCACTGAGTCAACCCGCCGCTGACGATCCCGAAGACCCGCTTAAATCTTCTCCCTCTTCGCCCAATTCTTCTACTCGCAAGGTCCGGTTTTCTACACATTCCGACTTCTAAGCTTACAATTTGACTGTAATCTTTGTTTATTTTTGCGCGGATGACCAAAGATTCGTCCTGATGTTTGAAGATGCCGTGTTTTGTTGTAAATTCTCTGAAGTGGAATGCACAGATTCAATGCGTCTGCCTATAATTAGCTAATTCTCCATGGGGTGGATCCAATCCAAAGTAAAATAGCTCAGAAAATAAGGGCTAAGGCTTTGTGGAGAAAATGCTATGGAATTCATGGCAATTGAATTTCCATCTCTTGAAGAATACATTTCTACCATCTATAAACCTTTGGGTTTATGCATTTATGGTTGATGAATAAATGGTGATTTTTTTTTATTGAAAAGAATATGATTTAAAATGATACTCTGTTAACTTATTGGTGGCTCTCACCGCTAAGATGATGCTTAGTACGGTGTATTTGTTAATGTGCAATTACTTTGTCACCTTAGTGAAATTAGAGGTTTACATACCATTGTTTGTTTCTTCAGGCCTGCTGTTACTTTCTTCAAAGCTGGGTCTCAAAGAAGTTCATGACTGGATGGTGAATTTCCTTGTCTTTATAAATATGCATGATATTTTGCTAGTTTCTGTGATGTCAAATACTCTTGAATTTTGGAATTACAGTGTTGTTCTCTTTCCTGTTGCGGTTACATTCTTTATCACATGGTGGTTTATTCAGTTTGTTGATGGTTTCTTCAGTCCACTATATGAACAACTTGGCATTGACATATTTGGTAAGTCCAAATTGTTTGAGTTTTTTCTTGGATTCTCAACTTAGTATATGCATTATCTTGGCTTACCCCATTTTTTTGAAAAAAAAATTGATTTATACAAGTCCAGTATCGCCACTCACCTGTTCTGTGTGTGGCCAATTTCAAGATTTATCAAATCATTTTGACTTTTGATTGATTCCCATTTAACAACATGCTGTTTAACTAGCATGTAAACATATGGAGCATAAAGTTACTCTTTGAATGGCTTACTGTGATGATTGTAATCAGAAAATTGCCATGAGGATGGAATTGGGTAGTCAAATATGAAATAGGATTTCGGTTATTAAATGAAGGCATACTCAGTTTGGAATCTGGACAAAGCAGAAGACTATATTTGTCTTACATAATTTCCTGCAATTGATTGATTTTTTGCTGTTAAATAAAACCTCAATTGGCTGTTTGTTCTCCTCAAAACAAATACTTCCCTGGAATCTTATAGTTTGTTTACTTTGTTCCGTGAATGGTGATGCAGGGCTAGGATTTGTGACATCTCTAGTTTTTGTATTCTTAGCGGGTGTGTTTGTTTCATCATGGCTGGGCTCTACTGTTTTCTGGATCGGAGAATGGTTTATTAAGAGAATGCCATTTGTTAAACATATATACTCAGCTTCCAAGCAAATTAGCTCTGCAATATCTCCAGGCAAGCTACCTTTCCTTCTTCTTTAGGGCCGTGCGGTTGCATACAATTATGTTTAGTGGGGAATCAAGTGTGAATCTTTTTATCATGCTAGACTGCAAGTGATTGCACAAGGGGAACTACTTGTATGTGCCNTAGAATTGTTAGTCTCTCATAAAGAATACATGAATTCATTTACGCTTTTACATCCTCTACATTGAAAAGGGTAGTCATACGATCCACCTTTTATCAATTGTCCACTATATGCTGGGATATTCTTTATTGCAAAATCTCTTGGGTTGATCTTTAAGAAATTTAAAGATTGAAGGAAAATATAATTTCTAGAAAGCCTACAAACAATTGGGTTTTTGTTAACTATTAAAATTATTTATAATAACACGATTTACCTGCTTTTGTCACTGTTTATTATAGAGAAAAACATGTAATTCAATCCACCCTGAACTCCATATTCATTCTCGTAAAAATCCATAAGGTCTAGGTCCTAGGCTCCTCACCTATAGCTTCCCCCTGTATTGAACCTGCTTAATATCACATATGCTCCACCTGACCTCTCTAGACCTTGTGTAGACACTAGGCCCTGATATGCTGCCAGTTTAGAGCCTAGCACTTTTAGAATGATATTCACACACTACGCTCAAGTTGCAAATTTGCAAAGGTCTTGATTTATGCATAAATTTATGTAATCATATAACTAAACATCATATTCAGCTACTCCCACCGTGCCAATATAAACTTCATAGTGGAAGCAACATGCTTATTTATAAAAAGTAAAATAGTACAATTGAGATTTTCTTTAAAAGACATGAAGAAGTGTCAACGACACAATTTTTTTCCTTAAATAAGAGTGAGACATCGAAGAAAGAAAATAGAGAATTTTATATTGGCATGAATTTTCCTTCATACTTGTAAGTGTTATGATTCTAGTCGTAGGACCTTAAGTCCTTACTAAGATTCCATGTGCTGATTAACACGTACTGTGACCAAGACGGATTGGAGCTCAAAGTATACCATAAATAAATTACAGTGTAAAGCAATATATACAAAAAGTAATAAAAGTTAGAGAGGGGCCAAGCCCCCTACCCCATGTCCCCTACACACACTTAGAAGCATTGAAGTCTGTCCATCAGTGACTTTGTATGTATGCTTTATTAAAATAGTGAATATCAGCATATCTTTTCAGGTTCGTACTGAAATGTTTCTTAGACTTGATTTGTTTTCTTTTCTTTATATGTAAAACAGACCAAAATACAACAGCTTTTAAGGAAGTGGCAATCATACAACACCCGCGTGTGGGTGAATATGCATTTGGTTTCATAACATCTTACGTCGTCCTTCAGGTACTCGTTTTTTTGAAATATAAATTGTCCTTAAAAAATGGCTATACAAAGCAAGAAATCATGCTTATTATTTCAATCAAAGTTCTATGACAATTTACTGTAAACCATCATTAAAAATAAAAGTTGTTTATTCCCTCCTAACACTTTAGAAAACTAGTAAAAAACTCAATTGAAACATCTCTGGCACTGTATAGTAATCAGATTTGTATTCAATGTTCAGGACTTAAATTTGTAATATGTTGACTTGTATATAAACAGCCATTAATTATAGTTGTGCAGAGCAGCTGGCTGTGATATTGAGTCAGCTAACAGAAAAGACACAAAGAATGTGCTTTTTATAGTGACTAGTAGCCTCTAAGTTTGTGGTAGAAAAGACACAAAGAATGTGCTTTTATAGGCTCTTCCCATACAATGGCCTATTGTGATGCGTGCAAAAATCATGTAACTGTCTATGTTTCTAGCACAAAATTAGCGGCAATAAACCGCCTTATAAGGCACATTCTCTAGATATATGCTTGGTGAGTTAGCTCGATAAGAACAGAAGTCAATGAAGTTGTGAAGTTAATTGTAATTATTTCTCTACTTGGTTATTTTGGGTGCAGAAAGATGACGGTGATGAAGAATTGTGTAGTGTCTTTGTCCCAACTAACCATTTGTACATTGGTGATATACTCCTTGTTAGCTCCCAAGACATCATAAGACCAAATTTGTCAATCCGTGAAGGCATAGGTATGCTATTTTTGGCCGTTAATCATACTATTGGGGGGGTGGCTATTTTTGTAAAACTCTAGAAACAAAGACAAATATGTAGCTTAAAATGCGGTTTGTTGGTTGGGACGCATGCCCTACCTATACGGCACATACTTTCATTAATTATCTCTAATGTTGGAGTAAAACTTCTTTCAGAAATCATCGTTTCTGGTGGGATGACAATGCCGCAAATGATTTCTCCTGTTGAAAGGGTCGCTCGGCAAAGTGAAAGAATCCCACTAAATAGAATAATGTGATTGTGTATACTTGATGGTGGTGCTATGCAAGCACAAGAGAGAAAAGAGAGTTTTTCATGTTGTAATTAGGACCTATATATATGATGTTGTTTAGGTTCCTAGGATTATTTGTCATCTCCTTGACTTTATGTGTTTGCACTAAGCAGAGGCAAATAAGACGTATATATATAATGGATTTTATTATCAGTTTGTTAAAATATACTCCGTATTTGATAACTTGATAGAATTTTATTAATAAAATTACCATTACAATATCAAAATATTAATTTTTACTCAGCAAAGTGCTAATTAAAAAATGTTGGTTTGCCAAACACCCCATTCAACATTTTCTTTTGGCCAGACAAACATGTTTGAGTTAGGGGTGGGCACGAGTCGGGATGGTTCGGGTTTCTTACAATCCCGCGTCCTGTCCGGTTATATTCAAACGGTTCGGAACGGATCGAACCACAAGCCTATCCCACTTTATCCCATAATTTTCGAGACCGGGATATAACGGAACAGATTCGGATTGTCCAACTTTTTCCTAATTTTCGGACAGTAATGAAAATTGAAAACAAAAAGATTGAAAATAAATGCTACAAGAATGTCAACACGTATTAATTGTTAAGTACAATAAGTTACTCGACACATGCTTAAAACAGTAGTAATTAGAATGGATCTAGCATGCTTATACATAAAACAAAAGTGTCTTCCAGTGAATGCTTATACATAAAACAAAAGTGTCTTCCAGTGAACCCAGGCTGCAGCATCCATATTCCATGTTGACCAAAACAACATGATAACATTCAAATCCACCAAAAAAGAGCAAAGATCCCATTGAATCACTGCAAAATTTTAAGAAAAAATTATAAATAGACTTTAAATACTAGCACTTGTTACCTGATGTGTTCCGAAATTGCCAACATCATCACCCTCTTCGACTACATGGATGTGTTCATAATTTTCTTCAAGAGGGACCTGACGCATTGTATTCCTCAATTCTACACAAAAACATTTATATGATATTAATAACACTATGTAAAAGAAATATAAAATACAATTTTATGAATAATACAAGTAATAGTTAACCCTCTTCGATGTCTTCATAAAATTCCAATTCTTCATGACAAGGTTCATCCTCAAAATCAGTAATGATGTCATCACCTTTCAACCAACTTTGCATGCATATCAATGCTTCAAGAGATTGAGGGCTTAAAGAACTTCTAAATGCATTTATCACCCTACCTCCTGTGCTAAAAGCACTCTCAGATGGCACAGTAGATACCTGTATAGCAAGTATGTCTTTCGTTATTAAGGCCAATATAGGGGATTGGATAGCATTTTGTTTCCACCAACTTAAGAGGTTAAAAGACTTATATTTATTTATCAAATTTGTAGATGAAAATTTAGTTGATCCCTCTAATGTACTTGGGGCTTCAACACTTTTTGTGAGAGAAACTACTTTATCTTTCAAATATTGAACAATCTCATGCGCCTCCACATCCTCTGTTTCCACAAGTCGTTTAGTCCACCTCAAAACATACTTGCTCGATGTTGTAAATGAGCTACCTTTCTTGGTAGCATTGCATTCTAGCACCTTTTGCCTTTTTACTTGTGATGTATTGGTACTCTCATTGACATGCCTCTTCTTCATATACTTCTAAAAATACTCCCCATATAAATATACAAAAGTTTTTTAATCTCACTAACTTTCTATTCCACCTCATGATTTGGCCATTTCAAATCTTCTTCCAAGATCTCCTTCACATGGTTTAGTTTAAACCTTGGGTCTAAGACAAGTCCAATATAAAGGAGAGAATTCATTTCACTCAGTTTACCAAAGTATTTTTTTATATTTGGATATCATCAATGAACGTACCTCATCCAATAAATTCATATTCTTAGTACTTAACCCATCAACCCTAGCATTCAATGTTTCTTCCATTTCAACAATATCTTGAACTGTGGTGTGAATAGTAGGATAGAGAGAAGCACTAACCCTAAGTGTTATTTCGTAAAAAAACATTCAAAAATTCAACAAATGCATTACATACTTCCCAACCTGCCTCATTAGGTGGTCCATGTCTTTTCCCCTTCTTTTGCACAATCTCATTTCCCTCCTCATCAAAAGCTTCATCAGGTTCTTTAAAATAGGCTAAATAGGGAGTGTCAGATTCTTGTTCAACCCTTTTAAAGGCTTTCTTCAATCTAAATGCAGAGTCCAACATTAGGTAGGTTGAATTCCATATGGTGGGCACATCTAAGCAACACAAACCCTTAAAAGGAAGCCTTTCTCGTTGAACAACCTTTTTGAAATACTCTAGCCTGTTTGGAGAGCTTCTAACAAATCTAACAGCATTCCTGAGGGCTGTTATGCTTTGGATTAATTTTTTCAGCCCACAACTTACAATGAGATTCGTAATGTGTGCAACACAACGAACATGCATGTACTTACCATCCAATATTGTAGGTACATCCTCCCACTCATTCAACCTTGTTCTTAGTGCATCCAAAGCTGTTTTATTAGCAGATGCATTATCAACAGTTACAGTGAGAATCTTTTTAATTTCCTATTCATTCAAACGATCTTCTAGAATTTGGACAATTGTTGAACCTTGATGATTGGGACTCACACAAAACTTTAACACCCTTTTATGCATATTCCAATTAGAATCAATAAAGTGAGCAGTCACAACCATGTAGTTATAATTTTGTAAACTAGTCCATGTGTCTGTGGTGAGACAAACTCTATGAGAACTCAACTCTTTGATTAATTTTTCTTTTTTAGCACCATACATCTCTGGAAATGCTTGAACGAGAGTTCTTCTAGATGGAACCTTAAACAAGGGCATTCCAACAGAGCAAAATTTTCGAAATCCTTTCTTCTCCACAAATGAGAATGGTAGCTCATTAACAACAACCATCAACCATTTCAACACAAGCATTCATAGTTTCTTTTTGGTTAAATCCCTTGGCAAGAAGCTTACTATAAGCACCCTTCTCCCATGCTAATTCTTTCTGTTTATTCAGTGTCGCATTAGCTGGATACCATTTACACCGTTTCGTAATATGTTTTAGTAACCCACTAGTTCCACTTGGCCCACTATCAGCAGCAAAATCACCTTGATTCTTTGGACAATATTTACATTTTCCCCTCTCTTTGTACTCCACTACATCCCCATAACTCTTTGTTTGTTCATTTTTTACTTTTGTGACACTTCTAACCCAATAACTGTTAAAATGATCCCAAGCATGTGACCTATGAACCCCAGGCTTTATACCTGGTGGAAGTTGGTATAAAATATCTTCATCATCATCCATCTATATCTTCAATCCTCTTTGCTTTTACGTTAAAGGTTCGTGTGAATATGGTTCTAAATTGTAAAAAGATTCGTGTCATGCAATAAAATTTGAAAACCGATTTATAATGAATTGTGGTAAAACTAGAAGAATAATATTTGGGATGTTGGAAATTTTAAAGTAAATGAATAGAAGAAAATGAACAGCACAACTTCAGTAGGATCCCATAAATCAGAGATTCTATATGAAAACAAATTGTACTAGGAAACGTAATTATACACCGTCACTGTCATACTTACATTAAATAAAATCACATTCTAAATAATATACTTGAGATTATTTCTTAACCTCGCATCAATTTGGAGAATGTAACAACGAAATGCCACAAATTGAGGGGTTGTTGTGGCATTCTGAATGGTTCAGGGTGCTCAGAGTCCAGATATTTCCTTGAGCCATATTCTTCCAGTGGTTGCCACAAAAAAGGGTTTGGGGTGACCTCAATTTGGAATCATTCTGAAAGGGAAAAAAATTCTAAACAATTCTCACACAAAATACGCTTCACGTGAGATTATAACCTTCCCATTATCGTTGTAAGGTTGTGCGTAATGCAACACGCCCCTACTGGCGTGATTTTGACTAGCAACACTATGCTAACATGAGGGAGAGGGAACACCGCCTCTCTATTGCTGTGAGTGGCTTCGTGAGCACGGCCACGAAAGTAAGCTTTTATTTCTTTATTTTTTTCTTCTCATTTAATTTTTGTACTAAACTATCTATTTTGTTCACACCTTTTTGTATGTAAGTTATTACTCCGAAAGGATATGCCGTTGAAAATTTTTTCACAAGATTTGCCCAACGAGACAAATATTATATACTTCCTACGTCCCTAATTTGGTTACACATTGAGAATTACGAGTCAAAACCTCTTATCTTTTGAAATTCTTTTATTTATAAATTGGTAAACCAATAAGAAAATAAAAATTATATTTAAAATACTACGTCATAAGTTCTACAAAAAGAGATGTTACAAGAATATTTTATTTTATCAAAAACTCAATAAAAATATACAAATAATCAAAAGTTATCGAGAGGTGAGAGAAAAAAGATTGTAATCTATTTCAGGAGAGGGTGAGTATATAATTGCGATGTTATGTCTCACTTAAATTTTTCAATCAAACACTACAGAATTGAATGACTTGTGTTTTATTATTATATTTTTCTAACTAAACATGTTTTAATTTAAAATTTTTATATTTCGTTTTTTGCCTTTTAAATTCAACTAGTTTATGTATTTTTATGGTATAAAAAAGTAATAGTTATAATTGGACATACAAGTGTGACAAAATAATGTAGTAATTTTTTATTAGTTTTTTTATTTGCCGTTGTAAATAAAATGGTGTAAAAATTAAATAAGTAAAATAAGACCAAAAAATTGAAAAAATACTATATAAAGTCCCGTAGATGTGATGGGAGACGACGAACCTGAAGATGGGAGTGGAGAAGATGATCAAACCGACTTACTTTGAATGTTGTGCATGACAAAGTCCCGTAGATGTGATGGGAGACGACGATCTCAAGTACTACGACGCTGACAACTGGGTTCCAAGGGTTGAGAGACTTCAGGGACGGAGGACGTGGTGGATTCTGCGTCGGGTTCGGGTAGTGAGTTGAGCTCAGTTTCTATTGGTAGTGGGTTAGGTTTGGTAACAGGAATGGGTTCCATAATTGGATTGGGTTTGCTAATTGGAATGGGTTTGGTGTAAGTGGATTGGAGAGAGTCGGTTAGTGTAGGTTGGGATTGGGTAGAGATGGCAGGAGAGGGTTCGTTGTCAAGGAAGTCAAATGACGACGATGAGGGTGGATCGGAGGCGCCGGTCGGAAGAGAGATGAAAGAAAAGGAGGTTTCAATAAACCTTAGGTCCCGACTGAAAAATATTTTCTAGGTTTCAAGGTCCTGCAATCGCCATCCCTTTTGACCAAAAGGATTGCCGAGAAAGAGACAACAACGCGACTGGGGGCGAATTTGTCACCACGATGATTTTGGTTCTAGGCATATGCTAAACACCCAAAGGTGCGGAGATGTGAAAATGAAGGCTCTTGACCATAAAGAAGAACATAAGGGGTTTTACCGTTTAACAAAGGAGTAGGCGTGCGATTAATAAGATAGATGGCACTAAGGATGCAATCTCTGATATAAGAGATACGAAGGTTTGCATGGAAATGGAGTGCACTTGCTACGTTAAGGATATGCCTGTGCTTACATTCGACCCTCTCATTTTGTTGGGAAGTTCCAACGCAAGAGGTTTAAAAAATTATTCTTTCAGAAGTGAAATATGGTTTCATACACGTGAACTCTGTTCCATTGTTGTTGGAAACCCTTTTGACTTTTGCATTAAACTGGTGATGGACAAGAGAAAAAAATTACGGAGAATACCAGGCGTTTCAACTTTATGAGTTAGGAGATAAACCCAAGTTGCACGAGAGAAAACATCCACACTAGTCAAGAAAAACAATGCACTAGGGCGAGATGGGGTTCCATACACCCCCAACACAAGTCACAATGTATTAAAGGAATGGGAGTATTCGATTTATTGGAACTAATGGGGAAAAAATCTTGACATTGTTTAGCATGAAAACATACATTGCAAGGGAAAGAGGAAACATGAGTTGAAGAAAACGAAAGAAAATGAGAAATGTTAGAGGATGGATGACCCAGATGCTTGTGCTAGACATCGAGGTCCTTCGTTTCCCACACACACTCTTTCAAGCTCCTTTTGTTGAAGGTAAAATAGGTCGTCTGTTTGTTCACCCGTTCCAATCACCATCTTCAAGGTAGAGTCCTGTATAACATAAGATTTGTTAGTGAACTAATACCTGAAAACTGATTTTCCAAGTGGACATTAGCATGTCCGGCGAATAGAGCACCTCCACTATCTTCTATTCGTTCTTGGTTCATTGTTCGATTCTTGGTGCCACGACCGCTTACGGTCGGTCCAGTGGAACCTCCTCCACGGTTGCTACTTTATTTCCTTGGGTGGGTCCAGTGCTTTTGGTGCCTCCGCATCCACCACCGCGGTTGCTTTGCACTCATGGTCGGTCTGCCCACCACACAGGGTAACCGATGATCTGAAAGCATGCATCTACTTATTTCGTGTCCCGTTAAGCCGCATGCTTGCATTTAAGGGTATTGCCTCGGGTAGGTTTTCTGGACGTAACCACGATACGCACTGGGTTTCGTTCGTATTTTTTTGTAATTTTTATCAACCCCTCCTACTGTGTTATAAAAGAATAAACATGAGTGATTGAAGCGAGGGGTTCAGTGCTCAGAATATTTGAACGAAGACTTCCATAGCCTTCATTGTCGAATCCCATTAAGAATTGATAGACCTTTTCTTCATCATGTTATTTCGCCAATAGTGTGGTCAGACTACACTTGCAAACCCCGCACTTGCATGCGAGAACTTTCAGCAGATCGTAGAGTTCATCCCATATTGCCTTCAATTTTCCATAGTGGTTCACGATCTCCTGACCATTCTGTTTATAACTTGCAAATTCTTTTTTCAGTTGATGAATCCGCGTCCGTTCGCCACGGAGAACCTCACCTTTATGTCATTTCACAGATCCGCTGTAACTTCTACATGGGTAATAAAGTTGCGAAGATCAGTATCTCGATGGTATTGTAGATCCATGAAATGAGCATCGCGTTCACGATCCACCATTCTTCAATATTGTCTTTGTCATCTTCTGGACATGAAATACTTTCATCAAAAAATCAAAATTTCCTTTTGGCACGAAGAGCTATTCACATAGCTCTAGCCTATTCCTCATAGTTTCTTTCGATCAGCTTGACCTGTGTAATCAATAATCCTAGTGTGTCCACAGGTTTCAGATCATACGGATTAGCTTTCGTGGCCTTTTTTTCTTCGGCGTTGGTGTTCCTTTGGGACATAGCAGCCTTAATCTTTAGTGTTTCACCCATGGTTGGTCCGGGTAGGATTTACCAACAGTTTTGAAATATCAATGCTCCGATACCATGCAAACTCGAGAGACCGACAGAGAGAAGACTGAAATTCGTTCTAGTAGGAAGAGAAGAAAACAAGTCCTAGTAGGAACAGAAATCTGAGGGAATTTACTTAAATAATACTAAAATATAATGACTTTCCCTAAATAGCACCACATGTGTTTTTTTCCCAATCTAGTACTTTTAGTCATTAACCATTAGTCATTATTCAAATAAATTTTCGCCATCATTGGACATTATGGACATTATTAACTGCTATTTAGAGAATAAAATAATTTAAGTACTATTTAAGGAAACAAAATCAAATAGGGAAACTAACACAGGAAACTTCCTTCTTGCCCCACACGCATGTGCCATGCGTGACAAACATCTTAAATCTCATGCATGTCATATGCATGGTTCATTGCACCCGGTGTCAATAATTCAACCGAGTAATAGTAGGTAGGAATACCTGAAAGTTTTCAATATAGACACTCCTTTAGTAATAGCAAGTGGAGCTTTGAAAGTTTCCTACTGCTCGGATATCAAATTTAGGACCTGTATGTGATAATCTCAAAGCACCATATATATATATATATATATATATATATATATATATATATATATATATATATATATATATATATATATATATATATATATATATATATATATATATAGAGGGTGTTTGGGATTGATTAACTTATGGATAAAGTGATTTCTACAAAAGCTGAAAGCAAAAGCACCTCATACCTGATTCTCCGAAACGGTGTTCCATGTACAAAATAATGTTGGTGAAAAGCAGAAGCTGACATGCCAAACAGAGTAAAATCACTTCCACTCAAAGCAGAAGCTAAATTGTTAAAAGCAGCGCACTGCCAAACACCCTCATAGTCAGCTAGTATGACATTGATATCATGTTAAGAATCACAAAAATATTTTAGAAAAATATTTTTGTGCATTTTCTTTATTCCTATTATGCCCAAAATATGCCAATATACATAGGAACCCCTTAGTAAAAAAATCTATAGGGAGACTAAACACTATAAGAAGACCAAATCCTATACAATTACTGACATAATTCAAACAGTATACACAAAATAATATAAATAATTTATTTCCTTAACATACACAAAGAAAATTTTATACTGAGTAAATAAAAAATTTAATTTCACAAAAGAAATGAAAACTTTATTTTAGAATGCCTAACTATCTAATAGAAACTTTCAAATCAAAAGAGTGTTATTAGGGTTATTAATGCTAGTGCGTATGGTAAAAATTTAAAAATAAATTTACAAAATGGTATTCAATAACTATATGTTTTCTAAAATTAGTCTTTAATATGAAATAATTATAAAAAAGATACTCATTAATCGAGAATAATATTCAGATGTTGGGACGACACGTGTTGCAGACAGAGGATCTTGTGCCTCTATAAATAGAAAGTCATATCCTCAGGGTGAGAAGTCCTAAATCCTGCCTAATCACTTCCTTTCAATTCTTTCTAAGGGTAGACCTAGGAAGAATTGGAAGGAGGTGATTAGGCAGGATTTAGGACTTCTCACTCTGACTGAGGATATGGCTTTAGATAGGAACCCTTAGAGAACTAGGATTAGAGTAGTTGGATAGAGGCACGGTGCTTCAGAGATTTTTTGTAGTGTGTTTTGTTTGATTGGAAATTTTTACTATTACTTGCAGGACTTTCATTCCATTGTAATTGATGCTTTATCTGTGTTATACTGTGATTCTTATCATATTTTTTGTGGAGTTGGAGCCGGGAGTCTCTAGGAAACAGCCTCCCTACTTCTGAATAGGGGCAAGAACTGCGTACACACACCCTCCCCAGACCCTACTGTAGTGGGATTCAACTGGGTTGTTGTTGTTGTACATTTGACGATTTAATTTCCACTAGCACTACCATACAAAGTAAAAATTTGTACACTCAAAAACTATGACTCTTGTTATGAAATAAAGTAAATATTACTCTATTTAGAAGTGTAGGAGTCCTATTTTGGGAGGAAAATATAGGCAATCCTATTTTACAAGGCCTATCTTTTACTCTGTATAATCAATGCTCCAACAAGATCTGGTTGGTATACTTGGTGCAATCTAAAATTTCAGTCATCAAATTTCATGAAGTGTCTACTTACTATATTAGTCAAGTTCTATAATAACCAAGTTAATGTTAAGTTTCTAAAATTAGATTTACAAACCAAGTAATCCCAAAAGAAAAACTGGAGTGGTCCAGTAAAATACTCATCAGACCAAAAAAGTGGCCCTTGAAACTATGTACAGGTCAAACTCAAACAGAGTGAAGAGCATTTAACCAAACCCAAAGAAATAAATTTCATATAAATATGAAGAAAAAGGACTGCTTTTTGAGTATCAAGAAAGAAAAAAAAGGTAACAACTAACAAGGAAGGGATTCCCCCACTTTTGGGTAAAATCCAGTTATCAGGAACGTATGCTATATAAGTGCAGCACCGTAACAATAATAAATAAAGCAGTGTATTATTTGTACACTCAAACAGGCTGGGCTCCTGACGCCAGTCATTAGCGATGATGCCTTCCCTGAAAGCCGCCTTTATTCTTGGAGAAGAAGGCGTTCTTTGGTTTCGGGATCTCGTGAATATCCATCACCTGTATTGTCCTTTGCTTTTTAGCTTCACAAAGGAAACAATACAGAGCACAGAAATAAACATCAGTCAAACCATTACGGCGAGGAATGCAGCAGTTCTACTAATACTATAGATTCCCAAGTGTTTAAAAAAAACCAAACCATTTTGTGCTTCTTGGTAGTTCTCCTGAAGCCTCTTCCGTGCTGAATTTAGTTTCTCCATATCTACCACTGATTCCCTTGGAGGCCTCTGCAAAAACCCATATCAAGTAATCAAAACCCACTAGAGGATAATGTTATTTTTGTATCCCAGAAATAGAGTTGTGTGCAATCTCCTCATCTTGAAGTAAATATCTGGATTCTTACCATTGTCATGGCCCAGCAACCTATAACAGATTTTGTACCAATTAAGGAACTCTAATCTGTCTTGAAATGAAGAACTAGAATGAAGACTAGTACCAACTACCCTAACTAGGATTCAACCAGACAAACAATATGATTGATTTGAAATCTGCCTATAACAATCATCTCTTGTGCATTATTATACACCTACAGTAACTAACTTGAGCGTAGCACGAGAAACCGTACCATAATCACCAACTTTTAGATTATTTTGACTATATGTCTGGGAGCAGTTAAAGATAGCACGCATCCCTAAACTTGAAAATGCATTATGAATCTTCACTCAAACCTAAGCCCCTCTCAAGCTCCATTTCAATACCCAGTTGGCATCAATTATCTTGAGTGTCAACTTAAGATTTAACAATCCAAATATCCGACCACATGTTTTGCCACCATATGCATGAGAATGAATAGAGAGATATATACAGATGGGGGAGGAGCTGAAGCTGGCTTAGGAGCAGATTGAAGTGGCCTTTGGGGTGTTTCATTCCTTGGAACTGATTTTTGTTTCTTTTCGTATTCTGAATTATTCCGGTCTAGGCTTGAACTCCCATCTAAAAAAAGATAATACTCAGTTGGTCAAATTGAAGAAGAAAAAAACAGTACGGAGTATAACAAAAGCACTTGGTAAGCTGGAATTGGATTCTATTATCAAATCTTACTTCTTGGATTTGGAGAATACCCAAAATCAGGAACCTGCAAAAGACCATAACCACTTTAGACCATTAACGTTTGTGGGTGCTTTACATCCGAAGTTCTTCATAGAAGCAATATAAATTTGATTAGAGGATTGACCTGATGATGACCACTCTGTTGATTCTTATGTAAGTGGTGCTGGGGTGAGTCTCCCTCAGCTGTGGCCACAAAATCCATTATTAACAGACTACGGAAATCATCCACAGTTAACATAACACACTATTCAACTCAGAGACTTTAGAAATTATAGTAGTGCTAAACTGTTTGGGGAAGCATACCAATGCCATTTGAAGAAGCTTTTTCTGGTGCGTTTAGCTTAGCCCATTCATCTACAATTTCTTTCCATTTCCTGCAAAATGGAAAAAGAGGAAAGAACTTGCTATTCTGAGATACAAAAGAATCAGGAAATCCGTGTTAAAGTCAGAAGTGTAACAGTTCAACCAGTCATCAACTGCTTCATTCCCAAAAAAACAACCAAAACACTTTCTATATTCAATTCTTTTGGTTGGTGAAATTCAAAACCTGACTAGCTGTTTCACCAATCTCTTCACTTCATTTGATGGATGCTTCCTCAACCGGTTCACGTGCCTTCCAATGTCAGTTTCCTAACCAAAATGAATCAAAAGATTGATATATCAAACAATGTAATCATAGAGACGGGAAAAGGGGAAAAAACATTTTTTTAAACTCGCCTTCAGAGCTTGAAACGTAATATCCATATCTTCAAGGTTTTGCAGCAGCTCAATCACAGATTCGTCAGACTATTTGATCCAAAATCCACACTTGCTGTAACTTGAAAGCAACAAGGAAAAGAAATCCAAAGAGATTGAAAATAAAGAAAAGCAATAAACCTGTTCTGGATCTTCAAGTTCCTCCTTGATTTGGAGAATTCTGGTCTGCTCATCGTCGAACAAACCTCCGTACGGATCCGCCCCCTCCCCCTCTTCGCCTTCTCCCAGTCCAATATCATCATGAAGACGATGATTAGACTCCGGAGTGGAAGGACTCTTACTGATCTCCCTCTCAACGATTGGAAAACCATTGCCGGCGAAGTGACCGTTGACTTGGTCGTTGCAGTTCCGGCACCTATTCCAATAGAGCTTCTCAACGATTCCGTCGCGGCGATCCTTCAACTCGCCGGCGTAGTCCACGGATGCCACCTCAATCGCCGTCTCGATCAGCGTCCACACGTCCGTCCCCGATTTCGACAGAATCAACCGAAGTTCATCTCGGTCCATTCTTCTCCACCCAATCCTTTTTTTTTCTATTCCACTCTTATTATTATCAAACACAAAAACAAAACTGTGAATAAATACGATGGAGGGAGGAGGAACGCGAGATGACGTCACCAGATCTGAGAGCTTCAATGGAAGGTGTCACGCGATCTGCGAACGACGCCGTATGGATCGCCCTGTAAGAAAATCCGAATCTTTTTGTTCCCAGACAGAGAATTACTGTACAAAAGAAGAAGGTGAGTTCGGAGCTAGAGCTGGGGGACGGGAGGGACGATATTTAACTTAGGCCCCCCGGGGTTTGGGGGATATTTTTTTTTTTCCTTCTACTTGTATGTCTTGCTCGTATACTCCCTCCGTCCCTAAATATTTGCTACATTTGTATTTCCGAGTCAAAATATCAAGTTTTTTCAATTCATTTTATTTACATATTTGTATAGAAATAAAAAATAAAATTTACATATCAAAAAACTACATGAAAAGTTTTTCGAAATAAGAGGTGTCAAGAATATTTTATTTTATCAAATAACCAATGAAAACGTAGAAATAAACAGAAGTTCTCGCGACTACTGAAAAAGTAAATGTT